GGGGGNGGGGGGGGGGTCGGTTGGTGGTGTTTTTGTCGTCTGCGTCTGTGAAGAAGTTGGTTCGTCACCGCTGTTGGGCACGAGGCCAAAGACGGAGTTGTTGTTTTTGTGTATTTTTATTTTATATTTATGTATGTGTGTGTGTGTGTGCCTTCTGTGGGCATTCACGCGTTTGGCTGCCGCGCTTCTTCGAACTTCACGCCATGTGCATGGAAGCCGCACTTACTGCACTTCTGTTTCTCTTTCTGTCGCTGAAAAGGTAGGGGAGGCAACCACAGGGAGAAGCGATTGGAGGGAGCGAAGAAAAGAGCGGCGCAGAGGGGTGCTTCGTGCCGGCTGGCATTGCGGTGTACGGCTGCACACTGCCGTCCCACTCGGCGGGCGAGGAGGGGCTCGAAGCACCTCAAAGGCAAGCGCAGAGTGGGAGGTCTGTGTGTGTGTGTGTAGGGAGACGCGAAAAAAGAAAAAAAAAAGAAAAAAAACAAAAAAAAACACACGCACAGAGGGGGACGCGTGTGTGCGTGGAGGCGGGAGGAGTAAACGAGACGAGCTGCCGGCAGTCCGAAGTGGGGCTTCCGGCGGAGTTGGGGGGAGGGCGGCGGAGCGGCGGGGACAATATGGCGCGGTCCTCCACCAAGCCGGCGCCTGCCCCGATGGCGCCGCGTGGCGTCCGCGGCGCGGGCAGCAATTACCCGACGTTCTCCGGCGCCGCGGCGGAGGAATTTAAGCTGCGGAGCGCCGCAAACAAGGCAGTGAATGGCGCCAGGGGCCCTTCTGCCCAGGGTGGCGGGCCACAGGCAGCAGCGAGGAGGTCGGCGTGTTTTAGTGCAAGATCAGACTTCAACTTCTCGCACCAGGCCCTGCTGGGAAGCTGCTGGGAGATGCGCGATGTGGAGAGTCTCTCCACATTCCTCGCGCGCAGCGTCATGAGGAACGTCCCGAAGACGGTGCACAAGGTGGTGTTGTCCTCCAGCAGTGGCCTGGGCTCCCTGCAACGTGAGGGCAAGTCTTCCTCGGCGTTCTTCACCTCAGCCGCTGCATCCACCATATCGTTGCCTACATTCGTCGGTGGGCACACTAGCCCTTCTACGTGCGCGGGCGGCAGCAGCGGCAGTAGCAAACGGGGTGTTCAAAAGCATTCGCATTGGATCTCTCTCATCCAGCTTCAACCTCGCGGCCCAAAGCAATGGGATGCTTTTTCAGTGCCGAATCCGGGCGGGGGTGGCGTACGCAGGTACGATCGGGCCCCGTTTGGTTCCACGCCGGGAGAAGAAGTTGCGGCGCCGTGCAAGTGCATGGGGGGCTGCGGGTGCCTGCCTCAACTTTTTTGCTCGCGGCGTAAAAAAGAAAGGCGTGGACACTTTCTTCATTCCCACTTACGTTATAATGTGGACTATACGTGTGCTGGGCAGAAGGATAAATCTGCCTTCATGCTTAAAACCCAAACTTCAGATGACAAAAATAATGCCTTTCTGAAGAAGCACGGTCTTTGGCAGAAACTTGGTACACGCTTACGTCGATGGGACCGCGTGGATGTATTTTCCCCGAATGTTCAGTCCCTTCTCCTCGCCGCAGCAAAGGCGCAGACGGAATCCGCCACCACCCTCTTGGGGCCTCTCCTCGGTGGCTATTCCCCCCTTCTTGGGGGGGATGCCAGTTTTGCCGCGGGCGGCGCTTTCCTTCATGCGAAGGAAACGGCGGAACCCGTTCTTTTGGGGGAGGGCGTCCCGTCCGCTCCCCCGCGGAACTCCGTGGAATCGGCCGAACCCCCGCCACGCTTTCCAGAAAACAGTCTGTACTGCCATTGTTTCGCGTTGCCCACAAACTACCTGCAGGAGCTGCAGGCTGCTGTGGAGTCTGTTCAGGTAACTGCCCTGACACCGGTAGCCTCCACACAGGACATGGAAACTGCGTTGGGGGGATTTGCTGGCCCGACAAACGGAGCTCCGTTGCAGGCGCCGTCTGCTTACCACGGGAGCGACAACCAAGGAAGTGCCGATTGCAAGGCGTCTACATCCACGGTGGCAGCCCACGCCCCCGCCAAGCGTTTTGGCCCGGCGCTGACGGAAACTGATCTGCCGCAGCTTGAGGTAGATGCACTGGAGCCTGCTTCCGCCGGCGGCCAAGAGCCACAGCCGCCTCCTTTTCAAGCTGATGCAGGGAACTCCGTGACGACCGCGCCTGCACTCTCCCTGTCCCTCCAGTCGTCGCTGCCCACGACGATTCTTTCAAGTGTTATTGTCAGCGCCTTTGAGCTCTCCATTGATCCCACCAACGGGAGACCGAGTGATTATTGTCGCTTGAAAGTTCAGTATAGTGAAACGAAGGCGCATTCTAGACATAAATTTGGTGAGGGCGTTGCAACGAGCGTCATGTACGGCGGGGTGCTCGTTGTGGAGTGCACCAGCCATGCGGCCGTGCATGAGCTGGAAAAAGCGCTTAAAAGGCAACAATGGCGAGGCGAAAAGAGGAGCCTTGGTGTGTGGAGAGGAAGGAGTCAGATGCTTCGAGGCCAGGGCAACGCAGGCGGCCGTCGCAGTGCGCAAAGGGCGCGATCCAGCACGCATAGCATTCCCGTTGTGAGAGGCGGCGAGGATACGCGGTGTGGCGGGTGTGTACCGTCGGACGACCCCGGGCAGCTCGGGTGGTACCGCGTTGTGTACTGCATGGGCGGTGAGAGGGGGAGCAGCTGGGCCTCAGACTCCAACGTGGGGCGGCAACCCCGCGCGTTCGACACGGTTAGCGAGCACACAGGGCACCCTGCCCTCACCCCATGGCTCGAGCTGAAAAAAGTGGTGGCGCTTGCCGCTTCGTGGGCCCGGCGTCTTCTCTCCGACCCCAAGTTAGTCGAGCCGATTTCGGTGTATGTGCAACGGTTTTCGGGCATTCTTCTTTCTTTAGACCTGATCTCCGATTGGAAGGACCAGCTGCAGCAGCTGATTACGGATTCAGAGGAGGAGAAGGAATTAACGCCGGCTACACGCGATACGTGCGCGACTAGGGAGCTTGATTTCCTTCGGGAGGAAGACCCCCGTATGGCAAGTCCCTTTGCTATGGCAGACTACACTCCGTCCGTCCCTAGTGTACGAAATACCTGTCGTCCGCTGGCACCCTCTTTGGTGGGAGGCGCACGCCGCTCTGCATCCCTGAGCTCAAAAATAGAATCCATCCATCAAACTTTGTTTTCGGAAACGAGGGACAGTGTAAGCAAAACACGCCCCATTGAATCCCAGCACAAACAGCTGAGGGCAAAAATGCATTGGGGCGTAGTGGCAGGCTCGGCCGAAAAGTCGAACTCAAACCAAGAGAATGAGGTTCCCTCTGAGGACGACGACAATGAGGCGCTCTGGGAGATGTGCATGATGGAGGCAACGGCTCTGGAGGCTGAGCTGGCGGAGGTGATGGATGCCAGTCAAGAAGCAGAAGACGAGTTAAGTGCATTAGGTGGCAACATTCACACTTTGAAACGTGCCTTTTTGCCCAGTACTGAAATGCATCGATTGGAGGTACTATGCACCTACCTAGAGACCGCTATCTATGAACCCGAGGAGGTTCCAGAGCAATATGCTTGCATTGAAGGCCCCGACTGGTTTCCGTGCCTCGCTGCGGTGCTGACAAACCCACGCAATTCCCTTCGTGGCATTAACATTCTCTCGCCCGTGGAGTATGCAGCCCTCCCCCAGCTTGGGATGCTGGCGGGTCTCTTTTTCCATGAGTGTGCGATGAAGTCTCTTTCGAAGCTTCGCCTACGCTGTGACGTTTTCGAGTATTTCGACTACCTTCACCCGGAGTTGCATAAGACAAAAAGTTGGAACCCACTGAGGCAATGGTGGGAGGCCTTGTGCGGCGTGCCATCGAGAGAGGAGTGTGCTCGAGTGTGTGAGTTGGTGTCCCTCTTGCAATGCCGCGAGTGTAGAAGCTCTCGATGCCCGCCGTTTATTCTGACCCGGCGGCAGCTGAGAGAAGTGCTCTTCACGCTGCTGGGGTCTGTCGTGGAAAACAACCAACAGCCACATTTTACGCTTCAACTTACAGACAGGGGAAACTACAGAAGCCTGCGGCAGACATGGAAAAAGCATGGACTTTTCTCTGGCCTCCGGAACATAATGAAGTGCTGTACAGTCGCGGATGAAATTAACGCGCGCTATCGCTTTGAGCTCCACCGCACCAAGGATTGGATTCGGAACAATAACTCATTGCCCCCTCAAAAGAGGGATTGCTTTTGGACAAGTATGCCAAGCTTCGGAGCGATGGGCGGTAATCCGGAGGCGATTGAGCGTGCACTTGCTGAAGCGGAGCGCCGGCCCTATTGTTTGCTACTGCGCCATAAACACCCCGCCTCCTCCTCCTCCGAGTCCTTCAGTTTTTGGCGCGAGGATAGTGCCTGTGAGCGGTGTGACTCCGGCCGAGCGTCAGCAAGTGATTGGCGGTGGACCTATGGACTTGAATCGGTTGGCACGCAGCGGATTGTAACGACCGAGTTCGAGTTTGATGCGTGTTACCATGCGCATTTTATCGCCGGTGAGATGCATAATTTTGTCGATCGCTGCAACACGCAGAAAAGTAGCGGGATGAGTTCGAAGGGTGGGGAGGTGGTTGCGAAGAAGCTGGTTACGCTCTTAATTTAGCTTGCTGCCGCGTCCACGCCTCCCACGTGGAGAGTAGAGGGGAATGAAGGTGCCTCCCGGCATCACTGTTGTTGGGCGTACCGCAAGCCGCAAAAAGCATCAAAGAAGAAGAAAAAACAGGGGTAACGGGGGGATCCTCCAGGCCCACATGCACATTCCCCCATGCGTCCTCTTCCCCCCTTTTTCGATACATGCTATTTGCCTCTTTTGCGTGCTGAGGAGCGGAATGGTGGATACTCACTGATGTGTGTTGGCGTGCCCCATAATAACTTTTTTTGTGTTTTTGTTTTTTGTTTTGTATCGGTAGTTGCGGTAGAGGCTGCGCAAAGGACAAGTGTGTGTCTGTGTCTCTATGTGTGTTTTTTTCTTCTTGCGCCTGTTATTTTTGACTGCTAGTGCCCCGTTTGGTGCGGCGTAGCTTCTTTCTCCTCCCACTTCCTTGTGCGTGCGTGTGTCCTCTTGCTTTTGCTGGCAGGCGTGGCAACCTTGTAGTGTGGATGGGCGCAGAGGCGTGCAAGGACCGTGCACCATCTACGCTCGTGCCCCTCTACCTCATGCGTTTGCTTCCCCGCCCCCCTCCCCCACACACACACCGATACACACACACTCAGGTACAGGGAAGGAAGGAGCGAGCGAGGGCAGGAAGAAGTTATTCATGCATGCGAAGGCGAAAGGCGCGCGGCGGCCTTCCTCACGGCAACACAAGTCGCTGATGAGGTGTCTGGAGGTTTGTGCAAGAGGCCCAGTCGATCAGCTTTGGCTCACACTTGTCCTGCTGCTGCTGCTGCTGCTCTTATTGTTGTCGCTGACGTTACTCTTGCGTCCGGAGCCCTTCTATGTCCCGGGCAGCGATGGCGATACTGTTCTCGCCGCCGCCGCCGCCGTCAATTTCAGTGGTGCCACTGCCTCGGCCGGTGTGAATGCCGGCGATGGTGTCGCTGAGCCGACGATCCAGACGAGGCGCTCACGCACCTTTTTTTTACCGTACGACGACGGTACTGCGGAGGAGGAAGAGGACGAAGGAGGCGCGGGTGACACCGACCCTGACCTTCAGAGGGAGGCGCTGGACGACACGGAGATGCAGTCGCTACGGGGCAGCTATCGCCTTTACCGGAACGCGTGCCTTGCGGGGAGTGGGACGCGGCTGCAACTCGATCGCTCTTTGGGGAATAAAACGCCGCAACGAGACGTGGCTCTTTTTATCGCACACGGTGGTGCGTGCGATTCCGGGGCGTTGAGCCGGGCGATGACGTCGCTCTTTGCATGGCTGCAGCAGTGGGGGTTGTCACTGGGGAGGCGCAACACGTCGCGTCTCCCGCTGTGTACCTCAGGGAGGGGGGTTCCGTGCACGGTCACCATCCTCGTTGCTGTGGCCAACGCTGGAGGCGGCCGCTGCGGGCGCACGGATCGGTTTCGCTTTGACCGCTCCCGTCTGCTGCACTGGATTCGTGTGGTGACGGGGCTTTTTGACCTGCCGCCGTGGTGGGGCGACGAGGGCAGCGCTGCCGATGAAGTGGCCGCGACGCGTTACGTGGTGGTGGAGCTGGGAACTGGTAGGATGGAGGCGTCAACGTCGGTGAAATCGTCACCGCAACGCGCTTTCGGATGCTATTCGCACGTCGTGCGCACGGGGGAGGGATCGCCGCGTTGGTTTCCCTCCACTTCGATGGCGCACCGCTTTCGCCAGCGATGGTTGCGGTACTTGCATCGCCAACGCAGTCAGACGGGGCCGTTGAGGTCGGATCCAGTTCAGGCTATGACTGCCATGTGGGGCGCACAACCACTCTCCCCGGTGCTGCGCCGCATGCTCGTCGGCGCCGTCATGAGTAATACGACGCTGGCGGAGGCTCTTGGGGGACAGGACGATGGCGGCGTTAGTGGTGGCGGCAAGGCAGCCTCCTTGCTGCCTGCGCGGCGCCCCGGCAACCGTTTGGCAGGGGCCATACTTCCTCGCACGCCGGCAGAGGCGTCGTCCTTGCGAAACACCAGTGCGCTGCGGCTGACAGTCTTGCTGCCTCATGCAACCGAGCAGCACGACGTGGAGGAGATGGTTCTGTACCTGCACCAGAAGTTTGGGCAGGCGTGTCGTATCCAACTTTTCTACATGTACGGCGAGAGGCCGGCCAGCGCTGCATTGGAACACGTGACGGTGTCTTTTGCGCACGGGGACTATCTTGAGTTTTTGCGAGTGCTGGCGCTGACCGACCTTCTGATCACCCCGCATCGTGCTGCGCTGGCCTCGATGGTAGTGATGCAGCCGGGGAGTGTTGTGGTGGAACTCTTTCCGCGTCTCTGTCGTTCCTCTCTGTACCTGGAGTTGGCTGTGGCGATGCGTGTCGTGTACGTTAGCCACGAGGGCGAGGGGCAGGCGGCTGCCAAGGCGCACCCCCAGCCTGGCGCGGGCAGCACTGCGGGGTCGGTGGCGTGGGACGTGAGAGAAAACGTGTCGACGCCTGCGGCTGTGGCTGGCACGCCGCGGCGTCCGCTGCGTCTCTTTCATCCCGTGTCCGCGTGTCGTCATCGGCGCACCACGGGCGTCTCCGCCGCTCGCCTCTATCACGTGGTGAAGAACGGCCTCTCGTCGGTGTGGCTGCGCAACAGCCGCTTCTCCGGTGTCATGGCCTTTGACCGCCGTTGAGACAACATCTCCCTCCCTCTTTCCCTCCCTTGTGAAGAAGCAGGAAAAGGAAAAAGGAAAACAAAAGTAAAAAAAAAAGGAAGTCTGGGGGAGGAGAGGAGAGGCGAGTCAAGTTATGCTGAATAGTTTCAGGAGAAAGTGACCACATCCATCTTTCGTTCTTCTTTTTGTTGTTTGTTGATTCTCAGGCGGCTCCTTGCCACTGTTGGTTTTGGTCGCTTTTCAACCACACTTCCCCTTTTTATTTCTCCACTTCTCCTGCTCGTCTTTTTTTTTTTGCGCCTCTGAGGAGTCGCTGCGCGTGGGTTATTGCTGTGGGGCGGAAGACGCCCGGGTGAGAGGGACGGCAAGTTGGGGGGTGGGGGCGTGGGGAGACCTGCATGCCACGGTCCAGCTTGCTGTGGGACGGCACCGGGGCCTCGGGGAGCGCCGCCACGAGGAGCGTTGGCGGCAGCAGCGATGTGAACCCAAGCATGGCGTCCACGCACACACGCAGGCCGCCGCGGGACGACGAGCAGCGGCGGCCGCCTCAGCATGAGCCTGCGCCGTCGTTGCCGAGTATTATTCCGTCGAGGAGCAGCGAGTTGTCCGTGCATGGGTCCGTCCACGGTGCCGAGGGCCACAAGGAGGAGCGTGGGACGAGCAAGAAGGAGGCCCGACGGGCCCGCGGTCGAATTCCAATGATTGAGCAGGGACGCCATGGCAAGGGGCGGCAGGTGGCACTATGCAAGCAGTGGATTGAGTTGCACCGCGAGGAGCAGGCGGGGGCGCAAACGCTTGTCGACGTTGCACGAGAACTCTTCTACAATGTCATGGTGCGGTGTGACTCCGTCATTGTGGAGGATGGTTACGAGCAGATGCAGCTGTTGGCGCTAAAGACGGCAGCGAGTTGTTTTCTCCTGGAGGAGATCGTCAAGGCGCTTCCACGGCACGAGGTCCTCAGGCCATGTGTGGTTTTTTTGCTTCGTGCTGTGTACGTGCCCGACACGCAGGAGATGCGAGACGCGCTTGGAGGCACGCTGGAGTACCCGTGCCTGTTGCAGAACTGCCCTCTAGACCCCGCCACCCGCGCGCTGCTCTCCCGGTACGCACGCAAGACGTACTTTCTTGCCCACCACGAGCTGACGCAGAAGGTGATCTTCCACGCCCATTCCAACGCCTCCCACCTGCAGCACTTAAAACGCCTTCCGCGTGTCTTTGCGCTGATGAGCGCAAACTGGATCAAGTCCTTTCTGCGCATCATACTAAAGGCATGGCAGCACATTTGTCGCATGCGGCGACAAGCTGAGCAGAAGCACCGGGCGAGGTGGGCGCGGCGATTTGCGGCGGGGCGAATACGAGCGGCTGTGCGGCGATGGCGGGTGTATGCGAACCTCCGGCTGCAGGGGGCGGCCGCCGCGGAGAGCATGAAGGCCCGCATCGAGGGCCTGAAGCAGAGCACGCGGAGCCTCGAGAACGAGATCGCCTCCCTCTCGGAGGAGAGCACGCGGCTGAGCGCGGAGATCGAGGCGAAGGGGAACCTCCATGTCCAGTTTGAGAAGCGCATTGCCGAGATGGAGCAGGAGTACAAGGACAGGCTGGAGCAGGTGCGGCAGATGGACCAGGTCGGTAGCCGCTTATTGGACTCGCTCCTTCTTCAGACGCCGTTCCCGGCGAGGATGGAGACACTCTCGCCGCTGGAGGTGCTCGTCCTGTGGGCCAACACAACACTTCTGCAGAGCCCCCTCGGCTCCCTCTTCCTCTCCGCCACGGACGAGGATTTCCTGAGCTCCGTCGACAAGGTCATGGATAAGCGAAAGCAGAAGCGGCAGCAGCAGCAGCAGCAGCAGCAGCAGCAGCACGTGAATCTGAGTGACATCTCTGAGGAGGACCTTCCCTTCTCGCCGCTGCTGGCGGAGACGACGACGGTGAGCCTGCCGATGCATCGCTTCCTCGCACTCATTCGCGCGATGGATTACGACGCCGGCCCCAGCAAGGAGGACCTCAAAATGGTGTGCGCATCCGACATGCGACTGCGGTCGCTGCGGTCAAAAATGGAGACCGGCAGCGAGGTGGTGGACCTGAAGGACCCGGAAACGGCTGCTGTGTTGGCGTCGGAGGCAGTCGTGGGGCGTACCCTCGTGGGTGCGTACGAGGCGCTCACAGGCACAAAGTGCATTGTGACGGGGGACCAGTTGCTGACACGGAGGCGTGGCATTCAGCTGGTATTTCTTGCCGGCCTCATGTGGTATTTCTCCAACTGGATGGAGAACCAGGTGCGGCGGCAGCGCTCCACAGAGGAGTCGCGTCAGCCGCTCGCCTCCAGCACCGTGCTGTCCTCTGCCGACCTGGATGTAGCGGGAAGTGCGGGGCAGGGGCAGCAGGAGGGGCCCACCCCGGAGAACCACCTGGGCGTACGTGACCGGAAGTATTTTGAGTGGTACCGCCCCCCGCAGAACCACCTCGGGTGGATGGCGAGAGTGGAGAACCAGCGGCTGTGGATTGCCGCCTCTCTGAGTGCGCTGCATGAGGCGCTGAACCTGGCTGTTGAGGCTTACCCCCTCGTCCCCGCCGAGGTGCAGGAAGACACACCGGAGTTCTTGGAAAACGTGACCTTGAAGAGGTTGTCGGACATTCTTCCGAAGGAGGCGATCACCTCGAGCGCCTTCTTTCTTCGCCTCGCGCGGGTGGTTGAAAACGCGCTTCCAAAGCTGCGGGCTCTCTTTCTGCAATACGCACAAGAAGATCGCGCGGCCGATGGTAGAGTTATTGGGCCTCGGTACATCTACTTCATTGACTTTTGGCGCCTGCTGCGGGACTGCCGTGTGATTGGGGGACCAGGGAAACTTCACCGCGCAGTGGTACGCCACATAGTTGGGAATGTCTACGGAAGCAACGGGGCACCTGCGGGCGGCAGAAACCCCGGTGAGGGGAGCATCGCGCCGAGGTCGCGGAGAAAAGCCCGCTCCGTGCTTCTGTCGACGGAGATTGATGTGCGGGGTTCACACTACCGGTTGCGCTTCAGTGCCTCGGAGTTCATGGAGCTGCTCTTGCGCTGTGCTCAGGCGTGGGACAACCTGCGGCATCAGCAGCTGGAAAAGGAGCTGGAGTCGTCCCACAGAAGGAGGCCCGCGGGGGAGCTTGTCGCCACGACACCGGTCTCACGGTCCTCGGTTGTGATAATAGAAGACGTGGCCGCGGAGGCCGACGCGGGGGAGGCGAAGGAAGAGATGAAGGAGATCCACTACGATATGTACGACATGACGTGGGCACTGCGCCCAGCCGCGGTGCGGGATTTCTTTCACGAGTGGATTATTCCGCATGGCTTTCGCGGTCCAACGCTGGAGCCGTTTCGCCGTGCCATGCGCCACCCCAAACTGCGGGGCCACATTATGGCAAACTTCGATGCCCTCTTTAGCCTCTTTTCGGCCTACGCGGGCCCGAAGGAGGCGTACGGCATGCCCGCGCGGCTGCCGGATATGGAGTCGAGTATGCGGAGGTTGCTGCAGGACGGGCCCATGAACATCCTCTCTTCTACAAATAGAGCCAGTTTCACTGCCAACATGAGTGCGTACCTACAGAACAATAACATGGGCATCGTACGCGTCATGACCGTGAAGGCTGCACAGCGCATGGCTGAGTCTTTTGACTGGTTCCGTATTCGTCGCTTGACGACGAGTGCCATTGAAAACATTTTTACCGCGGTAATTGCCGATGCGGAACACGAGCCCGACGTCGTCTTCTACCCCGAGTGGATCGACATGCTGTGCGCCGTGGCGCAGTACTATGACCCGGACCCAACACGGCCCCTTCACGAGAAGTTTGTCCCCTTCCTAGAGGAGCACGTGCTGCGGTACTACAACAACACCTACTGAGGGGAGGAGGCGGAGGTTTTGGCGTTGCGCCCTGCCCTTTTTTGTCTGTTTGTTTCTCTGCGTGTGAGTGTATATGTGCGTTTCCCCTCCCACACGACTGCTGGGCTTTTTACTCCTCTCCTCCACTTTCTCCGTCTGTGAAATGGCGGGGTGAGAGTAGGCGCGGCAGTTGTAGAATGTAAACTAAAGAAGGGTGAGGAGAGATTGTGTGCGATGCACAGAGACTACGACGCAGTTCTTTTCTTACACCGAGCCGTCTCCCCCTTTTCTTCTTCGCTCGCTCCCGCTCCCTGTCCTTTGCCTGTGTGTGAGTGAGTGTGCGTATGACGGCGGCCCGAGCCTCCGAAATGCCGCGTGGTCGTAGTCGTCTACGCTTATTTTCTTCTTTTTGTTGTTGGTGTTTTTGTGTATATACACTCATGTCGCACACACAAACACACACGCACACACACACACACATATTGCAGGTGTCTTTTGCATTTAGGAGGAGACGCGGAGCGTAGGGCCGTTGTGGGGCGATGGAGGGCGCTTCGGTGCAGACGATACCGTCCGTACTGGCTGCCGGGGGGTATTTGCAGCACTCGCTGGTGCGTGTGGAGTTAACGAACGGCATAGTCTTGACGGGGCGCGTTCTCCAGCTTGACGCGGCGACAATGAACATGAAGCTGGACGCCGTCACGGACACCGCCGTTTGCCGTCGCCGCTGCGGCGAGGAGGGCGGAACGGTGGAGTGGGAAACGGATCCGGCGGCCCTGCGGTGCACCAGCAGCGTGGTCCTCCGTGGCTGTCACGTTCGCTACATCGACTTCGTCGACGAGGAGGCCGGTGGTGGCGGTGGTGGTCGTGGGCTGCAGGAGTTGACAGCGGCGGTGCGTGCGGTGCGGCCGGCCCTCGTCTGAGGCGTCGCGGTGGACCAGTCGCGCCGTAACGCCTCGTGTGTGCGACTCTGCGTGCATGCGTGCGTGGGCGCCGAACAAATGCGTCTGCGTGGAAAAAGAGGGGTGCAGAGAGAGAGAGAAAGGGAGATGGAAAAAAAAAAAGTGTTCTTGCGCCACGTCCTCTGCGGCGGGTAGTTGCGGGGGGGCGCCCACGTATGCGTTTACCCCATTTATTC